CTCCTTGTGCTGGTGCTGGTTGTCTCCCTGCTCTCCAACCTCCTGGTGCTGCTATGCTTCGTCTACAGTTCGGAGATCCGCAAGCAGGTCGCCGGGGTTTTCCTGGTGAACTTATCCTTTTGCAACCTGCTCCTCACCGTCCTGAACATGCCTTTTACCCTTCTGGGGATCCTGAGGAACCAGCAACCCCTCGGGGGCTGTGTCTGCAAAGCGGTGGGTTTCCTGGAAACTTTCCTGACTTCCAACACGATGCTGAGCATGGCAGCGCTCAGCATCGATAAATGGATTGCCGTGGTGTTCCCCTTAAGCTACACTAGCAAGATGCGGTATAAGGACGCTGTGATACTGATGGGCTACTCGTGGCTCCACTCCCTCACCTTCCCCTTGGTATCCTTGTTTTACTCGTGGGTAGACTACAGCAGCGTTTATGCCTCTTGCACCTTGCACCTGAAAGAAGAGACGGAGCGGAGAAGGTTTACAGTGTTCACCATCGTCTTTCACTCCACCAGTTTCATGCTATCACTGGTGATCTTGTGTTTCACCTATTTAAAGGTGCTGAAAGTTGCACGCTTCCACTGCAAGCGGATAGACATTATCACCATGCAGACTCTGGTTTTGCTGGTGGATATCCACCCCAGGTAACGCGTGTGTTTTTGTATGCACAGTCCCGGGGCACCCGTGGTAGGTACCCCGGGCAGAGAGGATGCCCTGCCTGCCCCCAGCACCGCATCCTGCCCGCTCCTGCCCCGGCCACATAGCGAGCGCTTCTGCCTCTAGTATCAGAAGCTGTTTATAGTGCCAGAAAACTGTGGGTTGTGCATTTGTAACCTGCTTTATTTAAATGCTAATCCCGCTCCGACGGGTGCTCCCCTTTAACCGGAAGCGGCTGCTTTGGTGAGTACGATCGTCCCCAGACTCGGCGGGACCGGGGCTGCCCTCCCTTCCCGGGGGACTGCACTCCCTCCGGGTTTGCCCCCGTCCCTACCCGGAGCAGGGGCTGCACTGCCTTTCCCTCCCTCGATGCAGAGGCTCTCGTTCTGGGAGCGGGTCTTCCCCTCTCCCTTGGCTCCTCTCTCGCCTCCCCGCTTCTTGCCTTAACCCACCGACTGCTCTTTTCCCTTCGCAGTGTGAAGCAGCGCTGTCTTAATGAGCAGAAACGGAGAAGGCAGAGGGCTACCAAGAAAATCAGTATTTTTATAGGGTCGTTCGTGATCTGTTTTGGTCCTTACATTATCACCAGGTTAGTATCGCCTGTTGGGGTGGGGGACTTTCCGGGACTCATATGCCCTCGGATGTGTAGGTGCCCGGGAGGAGGAGGGAGCGTCTACAGCTAATTTTGGGGTGGCAGAGCGTGGCAGAGACCCGGGGCCGTTTCTGAGTGGCAGAGCACACTCACACACGCTCACACACACTTACACACACCGACTCTGCTTGCACACCCAGCCTCTGGCTTTCCTTTCCCCATTGCAGCCAGGTCTGGGCACCTCTGCCAAGAGCAAGAGGCTTTTAGGACAAGTACCAGGAATTAATTACATGCCAGTGGGAGATGAAGACAGTTTAAAAGACTCATCACCCTTCCTTATTAGCACAACCCAAGCAATACAGGGGAAAGCAGACAGCTTTTCCTGATTAGCTCAGGTCTTTTTTTCTTTTTTAAGGCATAAGGCCAAGCTTGCTGCTATTGGAAGCTGAGGTGACATAATTTACATTTATCCAGGCTGATAATTTCTCAGATGAGCTTTGTGCTTGGAAACATTAATGTCTTTAAAATACATTACTAATGGTGCAGCATGGCCTTGCCATGAGGTGTAAGAGTTATCTCCCAGGAAAACCAACCATCGGATCTTTAAAATGTATAAGAAACACCATGCTCCTCACCCAGCCAGAGTTATTGGCATCCACTCTTGTGGTCTGCACCTTTTTAAGTAGTCATGCCTCATTCTTGTTCCGTACTTGTATAGTCTTTATAGCACATATGGTTATTATTTTTATAACTTGCATAAACCAGTGAGCTGGAAGCTAACATAACTACACTGAATTGCAGCACCTCGGGGTTTAGCCTTTCATCTCTGGACTAAAATGGGCTACATCTTTCACAAGTGATTTTTTAAAACATTTCCCACTTGACAGTGTGTCCAAGACACCCTCAAATACTGACTTCTGCCAAGGAAGGTGCACTAGTCTTCAAACTCGCCCTGGTGAGGGCTTCTCAAGGTTGCTAACCAAGCTGCCAGGGTCTGCAGCCACCCCAGCTTATTGAAATCAGCCAGCTTTACTGCACTAATCCTACACAGCCACATACACATAGGCCATTTATGACCATTGTCTTTGCCCTTTTCTTCCACAGATTTAGGCCTGTGCAAAAAAATGACTGTATTTTTTAACATTTAGGATGACATGTATTTCAGTTCCCATTTATACATTGAAGGGATTCTTGACTGATTGCCTGGATAACTGCTGCTTTTTTTTTTCCCCTGCAGTTGAAAGGATTATTACAAATATTAACATTACATCACAGAGTAAAAAGGTTAATTGATCACTGTTCAGTACATTCTGAGTCATTTTCTATTCACTTTTACCATAATCAGGATATAATTATATTGAGCAAAGTGGATTTTGCCATCTTCTTTCCATCTGAACATTACCAAGTTCAGCAAATTCCAGCACTGCCACATTTTTCAGGGTGAAGATACCTCTCATAAACTTCTAAAATAAAAGATACTTCCTTCTTCAGACCTTGCATTTGGCAAATGTGAGATGGTGTATTTTCTATGTGTGACTAACTGGTACTTTATGTGTCACTGGAGAGAAGTCTGAGGTCTGGTTGTGTAAATGCATGTGTCAAGGCACAGCTTCCGTCTCAGCCACAAGGACCGAGTTGGTCAGTGACAGGAAAATGGACAGGGTCTGGGGAGGACATCCTCAAAGGCTTTTTTCCCCAAAGGCAAGACAGTTTCCAGGCAGCACTAGATAAAAGGCGATGTTGGAGGTGAGGCTGAAGGACTTGCTGCCATGACCATTTCTCCTTTCTTCCCCACTTCTGGTTTCCAGGGGGGTGGCACTGAAGCAATCTACGGAGGCGATGTGAAAGATACCCTCCCTGTTTTCTCACTCTTTGGCCTGGTGACTCAGGTTGCGTTGTGAGCTCAGTATTTGCTCTCATTTCAGAAATGTGAATGAGATTAGGATCATTAGCAATATATTCGTCTGTTCACTAAAAGCCAACAGATGAATTTCATCTTTTTTGTAACAGCACTGAAAACAAGAAAATGATACTAAGATGCATTCAGATGGATATTTCTCAGGCTGACTTGATTTGGCCAGGCCCTTTATCTTATTAAAATCTGTGTAATTTTTCTTCTGTTGGCTTCAGTGCAATTATGTTTGGGCCCATAATACATAAAAGGGAACACAGAGTAATACATCTGTTTCCATGACTGAAAAATACCTTACTCTTCCTATTTAGTGTCTTTATAAAAACATCAATTGTGTAAATATCAAATGTGTATTTCTTGTATTAGGACAATAAGCAGGATGGGATAAACCTAAGCAACCATGCAGTACATGTCATTCATTGTACAATTATTTATTTCTCACATTTTGTGTCTTCCTGTTCTGTTTTGAATTCACTGGAATTTTTTCCAAGCAGCTTCAAACAAAAGTCATCGGTTTTTAAATGCATGTGCCACAAGAATGATTTCACTTTTATACATATAAATGAGAAATTTTTCTGTCAGATTTCAACCCCTTGTTGCAATGTTCAGTCCTTGAGGTGGTAAGTCAGTTTTTCCATGCTGAAGGATTGGAACAGCTTCAAAAGTCAACGCCCTGCAAATTGGAAGCTCTGCACTTTGGAAAGAGGCTAAAAGGTTCTTCAAGCCTTGAGAAAGCTTCTGATCTAACATCTTCAAACAGTGATCTTTATAGGCTACAGAAAAAGGGCTATTTTATGTCATGGTACTTTTTATCCCCTTCTGGAATGAATATAGCAAAACAGTATATTCTTGCTCCTGCAAAAGGTTTCACAAAAGATGTACAGATAATAAAAACTTCTCACCCTGTTCTTTTGGCCCTCCTGGAGAGTTTGCCCACTGCAGATAAGCTGTGTGCCAGACAGTTGCTGAAACACTCTGAAGGTTTGCTTTCACTTCTATGGAAAAAATTGTTTAACTTAGTTGTGGTTTCTCCCCCCATGATTAATACACCCATCTCAACCGAGGTGCTGAGGCCACTAAATCATCCGTGAAGCACAGACTAGGAGACACAGGTCTGGAGACAGCTGGTTGTTCATATAATGATGATAAAAGTGTTGTCTCCTTGTTTTCTTTGGCCAAACTAGCGGTCAGCCAAGTGCACGCAGAAACTTTCACAGGTAAGTAGATGCAGTTGTGCTCCTACGCATACTGTGGGATTGCAGGTGCCACCCAAAACTCTCCAAGATACTGCCGTGTTCTTCATAGTATAGTGGTCTACCATGAATCCTCTTTGCATACGTGATAATTTACAGCAGTGGTGTAATGCAGATTCACTGTTCTGTATTTGAGGGGTGGATTCCGTGACCTAGACCAGGTTTCGGGTGTCATTTGAGATGCTGCATAGTATCCAAAACCTCTACGCAGGTTGGCAGATATGACACAGGACCTAGAGGAGACCCACAACTTCCAGGAGCAGCAGCCCAAAATGTCTCAAGTGTCACTAGACAGCTATACTTAGGCAACTGAGTTGAGTGAGCCTGGATGCCACAAGTCACATTTGTCTATCTCAAGCTTGCCATGGGAGAGGAGTAGTTAATTATGTCACTGAGATTTTGACCACTTGCCAGCATGACTCTTGAAATTCAGAAAATGAGCAATAAACTGCAGCACTTTCTTATCTCTGATGCATGGGAGCATTAACATTGAAAACACACTTTTTCTCTCTTTCCATAGAGGGAATGATTCTTGTTTCCCAGTGGCCTTGCTAGGAAAGTTCCCTTTGCCTTTATTGAATACAAGGAGTAAGTACAGAGCCCTTCTCCTGCAGGGACTGTGTACTGTAAGAAAATAAGTGCTACCTTAATGTTTCATGAGGCATGAGTTGAGCGCTGGGCTCAGTGTGAATATAACACTCAAGTGTTTCCATCTCTCTTTAATGTTTAACAGGTTGATAGAGCTCCTTCCTTTTGTTACCATAAATTACTACTGGGGAATTGTAAGCAAGTGCCTCACCTACAGTAAGGCTGCATCAGATCCATTTGTTTACTCACTTTTACGTCAACAGTACAAAAAAGTTCTGATCAACATCGTCAATAGGATACTTAAGAGGGACCTGTATCCATCCTCGGGGTACAACAGCTCTCTTGACACCGAAAACGATTACTGCTTGCACAGAGCAAACTAACAGCATGAAAAGCATTCCCCTTCGAGTGAGACAGGTGTTTGCTGCTGCTGGAAAGCTGCCTTTCCCCTCTCAAGCCGACAGTGGTGACAGTGTCTCCAGGGTATGAAAGCTGCAGTAATGCAATGCATTTAATTGTGGACTTTCATGAAAGGCTCTGCCCTGTTCTGCAGCCAAGTACAATATTTGGCAAAGTCATGTCCCTGAGTGAATGGAGTAGGATTGAGGGGTTCTAAGAGAGCCTTTGGAGGCTTTAGAGAAGCTTAGGGAGCTCTTAATGTTTCATGTCTGAAGACTTGGTATATCTTGGAGCACTCCGCATCAGACGTGACATTCCAGTGTCTTCTGGGACCATAGGAATCCCCAGGATGGAAGGAGAGGTTGAGAGACTACAGTGCTGCGCATGTAACTAAGCAGCTGAGGATCTGCTCAGCTAGCTTTGAACATTACAACTAAGTCTTTTAATTGATTGATTTATTGTATTTGTGCCTCAAGTAAGTCAGCACTTTGAATCTGAGATTGTTGTTACTATTATTTATTACTAGGCATCATGATTGTAACATAGCCTTTAGGAAGTGGTACATATATTTCATATGCCGGTATTCTATCAAGCATAACCAAAGTCCACACATCTGAGTTACTAATATTTAGCACTTCAGTGGTATGTGATTACAATAACAGCAACAGTAATAAAGACATATACAGAATTTAGTTAAATAGCACTGTAGTTCCATCACTGAGCTAGTAGTCCTATTCGAACAAGCTTTTATTCAGAAAAAAAAGCAGTTAGACAGTAGAAGTGACAGATACCACTGTGTTTAAGATATATTACTTCAGAAGCTATGTGTTTTCAAAGAACAGGCTAAAATATATTAATTCTTTTCAAAGGATACATAATGTGTAAAATATTTCATGCATTGGCTATATTTGGTGGATTGTAATAATATTGTACAATCTTTTATTTTGTAATGATCAATTAATCTGGTGATTTTAACTGATATCAAGAGATGTCGAAGAAATATTATAACAGACCTGCTGCCAAAATGCCCAGAAACATGAAGCTGCTTTATTATTACATGTATTTTTCTCTTTTCTTTCTTTTTAAATCTGAACAGGCTTTGGAAAAATGTGGGAATTATTTTTGAACTATATTCCTTTGATTATATGACATGAATCAAAATATTCTATGGCATTCAGTAAGACACTATTTTCTAATTGATTACATAAGGGTAAAATTAAAGAAATTCTAAAGTATATTTTAAGGGAAAAAAAAGAAGATGGTAAAGAACACTTATTTTTTTTGTAACAATGGACTTGACCTTATGAAGCATTGAGAAGGCTATTCCTGGTCAAACTAAGCATTTAAATATGTGATTAGGCACAAATATAATTTCTTTTGAAGTTAACAGCTCTATTCCTATGCTGAAAATTAAGTACACAACTGTGCTGTAAAATCAGTGTTGAGCAGTCAATACATCGAGAGGGTTTTCCTCACCATTCAGAATGAGGAAGGAGAGCATCTTACTGCAAGCCCAGAGAAGTCAAGGAAAGGTGATGCTGTGTGACAAGTACAATGTTCTCTTACCTCCTGCTTTTAATCTCTGAGGCCTTTCTCATGCTTTTCTCCCCCCATGCAAGTACCTTAGGCCTCTGTGTTTTGCATCTATAGTTATGCCTGTGTTTAAATTAAATGTACTATAATGGTTTTGTCTTCTTAGTAACAGTATTTGTACTCTCTCCAATTTTGTGTAAATACAGTATTTCAGAAAAAAAAAAGAAAGTTGTCTATGGAATCTTTCCAGTTTTACTGTCTTCCTGTCTGCCTCCACACGCCTCCTGCTACAAAACCCCAGCGCTTCAGTCTTTCATTTCAGCTACAATATAAGAACCACACATCTCTGTGGGGGGTGGATGCTAAATTTTCAGTAATTTCTTAGTCATTTTTGTGCCAAAAGGTTTTGATAAACTAGAGCATTTATCTGTGAATGAGTTTAACGATACCTACAATTGTTAGCTTACCGTTGGTTTCCTAAACAAAATGGTGCTCACTTTAAGAAAGGAATATGTTACATATAGTTAAGTGTATTAAATTGTCACTTCCAAAATATACAAATGAAATAAAGCTTTACTTTGGGTTTTTTTTTTCTATTTTAGTATCAACAAAATAGTAAAGGAAGAAAAAAAAGCTTTATAGCTATTAAATTATAAGCCACATTTTAAAGGTATAAAACATAGTATAAAGGTATAGAACATAGTTAAACTGCTACATCTGCTATTAAACTAATTAATGAAGTGTATTCATGCCAGTTAAGGAGATTTTCATGCACACACTTTACAATACTGCTCAACCTCACAAAGCATTGAACATTTCTGGAGGTGCTCAGATCTAGATGGGAATTAAAAAAAAAAAAAAAACAAAAGAAAAGATTTTGAGCCTCTGCTGTGTGTGGCAGAACATCCTTTAGATATGATTTCAAAGAGAGTGAGGAAGCTAAGATCAGCAGTATGCTGTAAACCAGAAGCTAAGGAAGGGTGAGGAGAGCTGTAGTTCTACTTATCTTGGTTTGCAATGAAGTTCAACTGCCTTGTTTAGCATTACCAAGACGTCTTCCTCTGCTAAGTATGCACAGCCAGTTCTGCAGGTAAATTTTTCTTTCTCCCCTTTTCTCACTCCCCACTCACCACCAGAGAAGGGCTTGCTCTACTTTTCTAACCAAGCAGGAAGCTTTCAGTGGGAAGTCTCAGTTTCATTCCCCCAGCTTCCTGATGTAGGCAAAACTTGTTAGCTTGGTGCTTCATTCACCATGCTCTGGGTTATTTGGCGATAGGAGGAGGTAGGGGGAAACTACACTTTGCCCCTGTTTTGAGGGATGCTGCTAAAAGGATCAAATGATTTAGTGCTATACTGGAAGTGAGAATATATATCTTACATGATAGGAGCATTCACCAGAGATGGCAAGGTTGTGGATTCCCTCTTACTGACATTTTAGATAATCATTGGATACACAGTCCTGTCAGTGGAGTTTGATTTGGATCAGAAGATTTCCAACAAAGCTGAAGAGTGATATCCAAAATGGCATCTTGCCACTGACACACTTGACAATGCAAAGGTAATGCTCCAGGAAACGTTATCTGGATTTCCTGCCCAATAGCCTGGAGTGGCTTTTGCTGGGAGACAAGAGACTGACAAATACCCGGCAGGTGTGTTGTGGAG